TTCATTGTTTAATCTTATGAAATTTTTTCATGAAATTGTTTAATCTTGTGAAATTGTTTCATATAATACTTTTTTTGATGAAGTTGTTTTATATATGGTTGTGAAATTGTTTCCTATAATACTTAATGAAACTGTTTCATCTATTTCTCTAACATTAATGAAACTGTTTCATGTATTTCTCTAAAATTAAAATTATGAAGATGATAATATMTATGATTAACACTCTCCACAATAAAAATGATTAATCAACCTCTCATAATTACAAAAAAATGAACAAAATGAAAAATTATGATTGGTTGAATGCGGTTTGTACAAATTGAGTGGTTTGCATTTGATCGCTCCCCTATATATATATATATATATATATATATATATTTATGTATAGAGTTTGTTTCAAATGCAACCAATTGCATTTGTACAACCAATGTAACCCAATAAATTGAAATATTTATAGAAATGATAAGAGTTCATTTATTATGATTTAAATATTTATGGAAGATGAATACGGTTCATTAATTATGATCAATACTTTACATTAGGAAACAATCAAAATTTCTATGAAATTACATATTCATCAAATTAAATGGACGGTTGAGTTTGGGTTGTATTGGTTGTACAAATGGTAGAGGTTGTATAATAACACACCTATATATATATATATATATATATATACGTGGAGGTTCAAACGAGAACCCCTGTGATTTACGAAAACGCAAGAACAACCTAATAACTTCAAAGTTCTTTAATTAATGAATTAGCTTATATTAAATATAAATAAATTAATAAGAACAGTAATGTAATTAAGTAATTTTTATTTTAATTAGTTATAATTATCCTTTTTTTCCTGGATTGATCACGTTCGTTTCGACTCTCTTCTCTTCACTTGTGATAATTGTGTAACAATAACCTATTGAAACCATGATCAATCGAGTGTAACCATAACCTACCGAAACCATGAGTAATCGTTATGATAAATGTGTGATTGTCTAACCCTAACCGATTGAAATCATGATCAAATTAAGTGTACAAATAATGTTATAATAGTGATATCACATGATTATCACATTCATACTACAACAAATCGTTTAGTGGATTTCAAACTCAGTGGAGACATACACCCAAGATCTTAAATGGAAATGTTCCCTTATGTTTTCATCGTTGTACACTAATTGAGCTAGGCTAGTCTTTCCTACCCCCTGTTTGCCCCAGATAGCGTACACCCTAACAATAACATCATCCACAATTCCACATAATGCCGGACTACATCACATCTTTGCTACATATCTTCTTAGTTATCATCCCCATCTCTGCATCTCTTCCATATGTCTTGGACAAACGAATGAGCGAGCTTGTTTCTATGCTCCTCCTGTCACCACCAACCCTAGCGTCGACACTTTTGGTAATGGGACTCAAGTGAAAGTTGGATCTGTTGGCCGCAATGACATCCAACCTTCTCCGAATGTCCTTAACTTTGTGAACGATCCTAATACGGAACCTAAGCTGATTAAGATTAAAGAAGAAGGCTCTTACCCTGTATACTATGCCTCTTTGGATGAGTAGCCTTTGCTGCATAGCTTCAATTGAGACACTTGAGCCATATTTCCACAGCCTTTTCCTTCCTCTGTTTCACCTCTGCATCTTCAAGAACAGCTTGGATCTGTTCCAAAGTAAACCTCAGAGCTCCAACATCATCCTCAACTGCATGAAGTAGCCGATACTTTTGGATAGTGGAAGAAGTCAATTTCCACATCACATCACTCACAAGGAACGAATCTGCCATGATTCTTTCAAGCTCACAGATTGATCACTTTAGAAGAAATGTTTCAGGGAAAACTCAAGTCTCACATACCAAGAAATGAAGAAAGCAAGTCAACTTAAGCATATACGACAATTCTTCCTCCAATAAAATTTCAAGCATTCCTACTTTGTTTTTTTTTTTATTGGAGTAAAAAAGTTATCCTAAACAATATTTTATTTAGTTTAAGGAAACTTATGCAAATATTCTTGTCCTATGATATTTGCTTACAGAAAAATACAAAAAAAAGGTCTGTTGGCAGACAAAATGAATCAATTTAAATACACCTTAAGCATAACAATTTGCAAATAAAAAATCATTAGCAGGCCATGCACATATATACTGAATAAGAAATGAGCTAGTAATCATCTATAAGCCTTAAAAAACAAATAAGTTAGGTTGCTTCTGATGACTTGCCTTTTACAAATTTCTTCCCTTCCTTTCTTTTTGTGAATTCTCCTTGATCATCATGAAGAGTTTTCTCTAAATTCTCCAAAACAGGTGTGATCAATCTGTGAGTGACATACTTCTGATTCTGGTCTCCTGAAAAAATCATGGCAGATGTGGCTCTTTCGGCCCTTGTGAAGGATGTGTTGCAAAGACTGACTTCTGCAGCCGCCCAAGAGTTTGGGCTACTTCGGAGACTCGAGGATGATGTTTTGACTCTGAGGGATGCTTTCAATCAGATACAAGCTGTTCTCCACGATGCAGAGATGAAACAGAGGAAGCAAAAAGCCTTAGAAACATGGCTTAAGAGTCTTAGATCTGCGTCTATAAAGATGGAAAACGTGTTGGACGAGGTCTCAACTAATGTTATGCTACAAAGGCTACACAAACGAGGCATTAAATACAAGGTAAGAGCCTTCTTCTCCTCAGATCATAATCAACTTATGTTCCGTAGTAGGACTGCTCATGAAGTTAAAACCATTCGGAGAAAATTGGATGCCATTGCAGCCAATAGACTTGAGTTTAACTTGACTCCTAGTGCCGTAAGCGTGGATGCAGGAGTTGGGGGTGAGATGCCAAATAGGGAAACTAGCTCACTCGTACATTCATCCATCATTTTTGGAAGAAATGCAGATATTGAGTTGGTAACTCGAAAGGTATGCAACAAAGATATATGCAGAGATGTTGATGACATCCGAGTCTATGCTATATGGGGTATGGGAGGTGTGGGAAAGACTACTTTAGCTCAATTAGTCTACAACAATGAAAGGGTGAATAAGCATTTCGAGTTAAAATATTGGATATATGTCTCCCATAGATTCGAAGCCAAGGAGTTGATAAGAAAAATCATAGAATCCATAGATAAATGTGAGTGTAGACTTTCACTCTTGGATGCGATGCAAGTGTGTCTTCAAGACAAGTTACGGAGAAAGAGATTTTTGATTGTATTGGATGACGTTTGGATCGAAGAAAATGATAGGCCGGAGTGGGACAAATTAAGTAAGACACTAAGCTGTGGAGCCGAAGGCAGTATTGTTATGGTGACAACACGGTACAAGATAACTAGCCGAATGATGGCTAAGGTTCCCGAGTGGCAGCATGAAGTGGGATGTTTATCAGAAAATGACTCTTGGTTGTTATTCAAGAAGCTTGCATTTGCAAATGGAAGAGAGGGACAAAACATAGAGGAGCTAGAAGCTATTGGAAAGAAGATAGTTGATAAATGCAAAGGATTGCCTTTAGCACTAAAGACTTTGGGTGGCTTAATGTGGTCAAAAAGTAGTACCGGTGATTGGCAACGGGTGAAGGACAACGACATTTGGGACCTACAAGAAAATGACCTATTGCCTGCTTTGAAGTTGAGCTATGATAATTTGGTTCCACATATAAAACGATGTTTTGCTTATTGTTGTCTGTTTCCTAAAGGCTATGAAATGGATAAAAACTTATTGATCGAGCTGTGGATGGCAAATGGCTTCATTCCACCTGGTGGAGAAGCTGATTTGCAAGTGCTTGGGGAAGAAATTTTCAATTGTTTGGTCTGGAGGTCCTTCTTTGCAGATGTGAAGGAGAATTACATGCATCAGACCTGTAAAATGCACGATCTAATGCATGACCTAGCACGATACGTGATGAAACATGACTGCTCTGTTGTAGAGCCAGGGAAGGAGTTTATAACCCCAGATGAGGTGCTTCATTTCAGTTCTTCATGTCCACATTTTTTCTTTTCGGACCAAGATTTGGAAAAGCTAAGATCTTTGCGTTCAATATTCATATTTGCAAAGGAATATAGAGGCAGCATTGACCAAATTTTCAACCATGTATATCTAAGGGTGTTGTTCTTGGATCGAGTTGAAAGTATGACGTTGCCAAAATCAGTTTGCAAACTTAAACATTTGAGATACTTGAAGATATCAAGCTCAGAAATAGAAGTTCTACCTGAGTCAATTATTTATCTCCAAAACTTACAAGTGTTGGTTCTGCGACTCTGTCGACATTTATGTAAGTTGCCTAACAGTATGAGATACATGAGGAATCTTCAACGACTGGACATCAGTTGCTGCCCTGCACTCCGGTACATGCCTGTTGGTATGAAAGAACTAACTGGTCTCAGAAGACTTTCGAGCTTTGTTGTTGGTAAGAAGAATGGAGCCCGTATAGGGGAACTAGGAGATCTAAATCTTCTGGGATGGGATTTGGAATTATTGGGACTTGAGAACGTTGGAGGCTTAGAGGAGGCCAAGAGTGCGAATCTAATATACAAAACAAATGTGTTGGTTTTAGGACTATGTTGGTCGGACATCGATACGAGAGAAAATAGACTAGAAACCTTCGCACAAGATGAAGAGGTTCTTGAGGGATTGGAACCATATTCGAGTCTCAACGAGTTGAAAATACACAAGTATATGGGAAATACATTTTCTTCAAGTTGGATGGTCAATTTAAGGAATTTGGTTGCAATCAAATTTTCTCGGTGTAACAACTGTGTACATATTCCATCACTTGGGAACTTACCCAACCTTAGGACCATCAATTTGTTGGGCATGGCCACTTTGAAGTCTTTCCATGGTGATGACAATACCACATCAGGGGACAACATTCGGTTTCCGAGTTTACAAGAGTTATACATACACGAGTGTTGGAATATGGTTTCTTTGCCTAATGATCTCACAAAACTCGAAAGTTTAAAAATATTATTCTCTGATCGATTGGTTTCATTGCCTAGCAGCCTCCCAAACCTCAGAACATTAGAGATATCATTCAATTATCAATTAGTTTCTTTGCCCAACAATCTTCCCAAACTACAAGTATTACATTTAGAAGAGTGTGGGGAATTAGTTTCTTTGCCCCGTAATCTTCCAATGCTCACCAAGTTGTGTATAGATTGTTGCGAGAGATTATGTTCCTTACCAGATGAGAAGCAAAGTCTCGAGAATCTCGAGGAACTTCGGATTTATGAATGTGGAGATCTAAGCAGAAGATGTGAAAAGGAGATCGGTGAAGATTGGCCTAAAATTTCTCACATTCCTTATCTTGATATATGCTGATGGTCCATTCCATGGTAAAACACATGCTCTCTCTCTCTAAATCTTTCATCTTCTTTTTAATTTATTAGTTAAGTTGGTGTCATGAAACTAAAATAACTTCATTTTTCCAAAGGCTTGAAGATGATGAGAATGAAGACTGAAATAACTTCATTTTTGGTGCAATACTTGAGCTGGTCATTTTAGTAATTATGACACAAGGTAACCATGGTTTGATAGCTTTTATGCTTTGGTGCAATATCTTGAGCTGCTCATTTTAGTAATCATCCACTAAGGGTCACTTTTTCATATAAATTTGGACTTATTAATTTATATATTTATGTTAATTACAAATTTATATATATATTATATATACTATATTATAAAGCATTTGACAAAAACTCTTAAAAACCATTTTTTATGCATTAATTACTATTTATTGTTGCATATTACTTAAAATTCAAGATTACAAGTAAATTATCTGTATGTACAACTTATTAAAGCTCCATGTTTGAATTTGTGTAACTAACTATAAATAAACATAATCAAATTATGGATAATTATCTCATTTTAAATATAAAAAATCTAAAATATATTTAAGATAATCATTGAATTCAAAATACTAAATATTATCTTTATAAAAGAATTACGTTATTAAACTAAAAATAAATGACTTCATTATTAAATCTAAATTAAATTATAATAAAAAATAGAATTAAAGAAATCACACAAAAAAACAAGAACTTTTAAATATTTAATTTGATACAAAAATCGATATATGTTTTTTCAAAATTTTATGATATCTTCAAATTTATAGTTTATTCAAAAAATAAAAACAATATCGTTTTTTTGGTACCACATAAAATCGTATTATAACATCGACGGAGACAGAATAAAACGAAACATTAAAATTGAGATGTATCTCGCTGCATTGCGCGAGTACCCTTCTAGTATATAATTAAAAGACGTAGACTTCCAGACTTCTAACTATGATGACAAAACTGGACATCAACGACGTAGCAAATTCCTAGCTGAAAGTCAAATCCTTAGCAATAACGTCGTAGCTAATTAACTGGTCACAAAAATATTTTGCTATGGATTTAATCACATATAGTCATATACCTCAAGAACAACATGATCTTCTACGACAACACTAAAGAGGTAACTTTGAATGCATGTTACGTGAAGGAGTAAGCACAAGATACGATACGATACACAAACAATTGACTCAGATTAATCACATATAATCATATACCTCCAGCAACCTTAAAACAACTTATACCTATCGCAAGGTATCATTTCTTCAAGAAAGACAGAAAGTGACCAACTCCAAGTGTTGTGTTTTCTGTACGTTTTCAACAAGAAGGATTTCAAACGACTGAACAAGTTAATGTTAATTGTTATCCTAGTTAATTTATGAAGGGATGCACCTTCGTCTGAGGCTTTGTGCAATAACTATCTTTATCGGAGACATTTTATCGAACACCTTTCAGGCACTCCTCAAATCACCACACTTAGTGCACATGGTCACCCAAGGATTCAAATTAGCAACATCCAAATCACTCTTAGTTTTATGTACCTTATCTCAAACTTCGTTTCAAATTCTCAAAGTTTAAGTTCCCAATTCCAAAGTAAATGTGTAAATTGTAATCACTAATTAACACAATAGAATCATTCAAGATAACGTAAGCATATTCCAAGCATGTCAATTACTGACCTAAGCGCCAGAAATCTTCAACTTACAGAGAGAGGAGAGGTGAGACCGCGAGACCGTGAGAGACAGAGAGCAGCAGCCAACAGGCCGCCGGAAAGAACGTGATTTCCGGTGATTGCGTGAAATCGTGACAGTTCCGGTGAATCCGTGTCGAGGAGCTGGGTGTCGAATCGGTTTTGGGCTATAATTTGAAAAAAGAAAAATAACTGAGGGTTCCTGGGCCGACTCTCGGCCCGACATATTTACATATTTTAGCAATTTTGAAGAAAATTGATAAATCTAAAGGTAACAAGCGTACCATATTTTTTATATATATTATATTATTAAAAATTTAATAAAAAAATTTAAAAAACTATTTTTTATGTATAAAGTACTGTTTTAATTATTCCATCTCTACGAATTATATTTTTGTATTAAGAATGTAATAGATTTCTAACTTGTTATTAACTAAGGGGTCGTTTAACAAACACTTACCCGGTAAGCGCTTATCGGTAAAAATTTAACACTATTATTTACTTATCGGATAAGATTTTAGTCCACCAAAACGGTATCGTGTGCAACAATGTACCCAATAAGCGCTTACCATGGTAAGAGTCGTCACCTTCACTTACCGGATAAAGACTCTTGGTCTTTGTCTCGCTCTTATTAGGTAAGATTCTTGTTCCTTACCATATTCATCCAGTAAGGTAACGTGACTTGGTGTTCACTTACCCGAGTAAGCGTTTGGTAAACAGCCCCTAAGAGAACTCCTACTTCTTGAAAAACATTACCGCCCATATGAGACGGTTCAATTTATATTTATATTTAGGACTTCAAAACTACTCTTGTTTTATCATACATTATTGACTCTTTATTTGAGTTCATTAATTTTAAATACTCTCATTTCTCGAAAACAAAAAGAAAATCTCAAACTATAACCAACATAGATTTTTGATTCTAAGATTGATAGTTTTGAAAAAGTTTGTTTTAATCCTAAAAGTTTAAAACGGTGATGAAAAACATTAACCTGAGCTTAGATGAAAACCCGATTGATTTATATTGATTACATACAATATTACTCAGAATAGTCAACATAATTAATGTCAATCTATATATTAAGGGTGTATCCTAGGATGTTTGATGTCATGCAAAATAATATGGTATATGATATTAATTTTAAAATAATTACCGATTGATTTTACGTTTACAAATACTCGAAGAAACGGTTTTATATGAATTATTAATATTTCTTGAATTCAATATTATGTACGAAGAATTTTTTATAACTTATAATACATATTTTTCAAAATTATTTATACAAGATTTTCAAGTTTTTTTCTTTATAGTTCTTCAAAATTTTATCTATTTAAAAGTATCATTTAAAGTGTGTTTCAATACTAAGTTTTAAAAATAGCAATTAAAAAAACATGTATAACATTTTTGTGTAAAAATGATTTTAAAAAGAATATTCTTTTTAAAACTAGTCTGGTACCTCTGGGACTAAATTGGTCTAGGATTTTTGGTTGGGACAGGTTGGCCCAGTTTTAAAGGAACCGATTTGGAAGCGGCTCGATTTTATATGGAACCGGTTTTTGGTTTGACCTGATTCTTAACTTTGTGTTGATATTAGCATGGTTGTTTAAAGTGTTTGCTTAGGCCTACTTGATTATTAGTTTTGTTTTGTCCAGTGTAACATAAGTGATTAGCTGTGTTTATCTGATCTCTATCAGTAGTCCAAATCTTTGATAATTATTACATGCGATCCTACAATATCCCGAGTAAATTTGTGTTTATTCTCTTATCTTCTCGTATTTGACTTGTATGCTATGACAACATTCCTTGCAGATACAGTTGATTTTAAAACTCAAATGCTTGCTTTCTTAAACACACACACACACACACACACACACACACACACAAAAGCAATCTAAAATGACCCAACTGGATTTATACATTTTGGGCTTAATCAAATGCAGTTGGACTGGATTTGTCAGAGTCTGGAAGATATTGTTCATATTAAATAACTATTCTTACATGTTAGAGGCTTGAGCCTTGACTCCCCTTCGGCCTCTGTTGCCCTGGGAGACCACTCATCTCGCTCAATACTTGGGTCGGCCTTATCTTTTACCCGGTAAACGGTTACTGGTAAGGCTGCAGTCCATCAAAACGGCATTGTATGCAATAATGTACCAGTAAAAGCTTATAGAGTAAGAATCGTGACCTTTACTTACTGAGAAAGACTCTTCATCCTTATATATAATCGCTATTACCGAATAAGATACTTGGATTCACCTTATCTTTGATGATTTTACACATCATTTTATACAAATACAAAACAATTTGGTTATTATTTGCTTTTATTTATGTTTTACAGTGATTTTGAAAAACAACCAAATCAAATCCTTGGAGTATGATGAGTGTACAAAAAGACCCCCTCAAAGAAATTTAGATTTGAGCCCTTTGAGTTTTAGAAACATACGTTTTTAGTCCTTATAGTTGATCTCAAAGATGCATTGGTGATTGGGGGATGTATAGTTGTTTGTCAGTCAATGAAGTTGAGACTTCAAAAGCAACCTACCACTCACAAAGACAAAATATATACAAGAATAGGTGGACCCAAACCAAATAAATTAATTAATAAACACAAGAGAAACAGTGAATTTTTTTCCTGTGGACCTTCAATTCTCTTTCATATAAGAATAATATCACCATCATCTTCTCTACCTCTTTCAAGGACAATGACCCTACTATGCATACATCTATTGCAACACAAATACCTCCAAAACACACCATATATACATATACATATACATATATATATATATATATATATATAACATTCCTCACTTAACTCTCTCTCTCTCTATATATATATATATATATATAGAGAGAGAGAGAGAGAGAGAGAAGATATGTTGGAAAGAAATGTACAAGAAAGTTGATATTCATATGTGAATTAATAAAGTTGTGTAAGTTGTAATCATATGTGAATTAATAAAGTTGTGTATAGATGGGAAACAAATTGTCCCAAACAATACGAATTTTGATCAAAAGTCCAAAAAATGACAGTGAGATATTGATTTGTCTTTCTGCAATGGATCTATGAATGAATATATGGAGAGGGGAAGAAAGAGAGTGTGTGGACCTCACTTGTATCACCATCATTTCGTCATATCTCTACAAGACAAATACTCTTCTAGGTACCTTCACATTCACACACCTAAATTTAGGAATCCAAATGTTTTAAGGACCTCCATATCCTCAATTACTTTCAACTCTTTTATTTACTTTTCAACCATTTTTGTTCGATACTAATCTTATTCCCGTACGGTTCATTCGTTATCTCATACGTTACGTTACGTTGCTCTCTTTAGATTTTCTCCAAGATATTGTTAATTTGGCTGTCTGGGGATGGAGCAAGGAATCAGCCATTCTTAATTGCTATATATATATATATACACACACACACACTTTTGCATAAAAATGAGTACAATTTGTACTTGCTGAATAGAT